AGGACTGCTTTTACCGGTTCTCACGGTCTCTTCGCTTGCGGATTTCTTATATTTTTCCTTCTACCCTGAAGATGGAGGCGATACGTTCCTCCGAAACGTCGGTTAACACCACATATACACGGTGCCAAATCCGAGAAGACTGCTTTCTTCATAGTCACAGCCGTGAAAGCCTCAAATCTTACTGAGTAAAGATGTCGTTTGAAAAATATTATCCCGAACCTGAGGATCCCCGGAGGCAAAATATGTGGATTATGAACCCTTTTGTTGAACACAATGAGACAGCCCTTTCCCATGAGGAAACCCTTCAACTTACTGAATTATCATCGGACTGGAAAGTACTTTTAATACTACGAGTAATTCGAAATTCTGGATAAGAATGAAAAATGAATATCCAAATTTACATGAAATATCAGCGAGGTTTCTTCTTTGTTTTTCCACCACATATCTTTGTGGAACTTAATTTTCTGCCATGACTGTGCTTAAAACGAAACAGAGGAACTGCCTGCAACTTTCTGACTGTCTCCGTTTGGCTCTCCAATTCATCCCAGAATTAATAAGTTAACAGACGGAAAACAGAAACAGAAGTCTCATTAGCCTAACTAAAACCTTCCAAACTCAGTTGTGATAAAAGAAACTAAGTTTAACTTTCCAATGACTTATAATTGCTGTGTTAAAGTGCTGCGTCTTTAAAATCAAAATATTAATTGGTGTTGGAAGTAGTGTTTAGAATTGAGAGATTCATACATTTTTTTTATCAAATTACATACTTTACATATATTATTATTTGGCGTGTGTATGTGATAATAAGTGTTTCGCCGGCAAGTTGACATCCTTCTGCTTCTTCCCCTACTCAGCTGACTTCTATTGTGAGTCACAATGCATAAATATTTTTCTTACCGCCGTTTCTTTCAAACCAACATCATTAAAATCAATTTAATAATACAATAATCAATTTTACGCTGAATAACATAAGTTTTTGGTGATCAGCATGGGATATGTCAATGAAATTTAGCACAAATTAATTTAATGATGTTGATCTGAGGAAACTACAAAATGCTACAAGATTTCATTAGTCCAGTGATTGATAACTAATTTAAATGTAATTTTATGTTTGTCAACATGCCACACCGTATACATAAGTGTACTAATACTTTTTATGATTATGCTATAATTAATTACTAATATTATGTTAGCTTAATGCATGAACTTTAACAAAATTGGATAGGTATTTACAAGTAAATTTGTTGGGACTGGGCCCTCGTCTTATAAAAAAAGAACTTACTGGGCCGAGGTCTCATAAAGGTTGAGAAGCACTGCACTAGAGCACACAGACTAGTGTTCTCAGTCTATTACAAGACGTCTCCTAGCAACGGATCTAACAATGGCTATTCCTCTGCTTCTGTGCTCAAGTCCGCTCTGATCGGTGGCTCCCTTCCAATCGACTCTTCTCCTAAGTCGAAGTCAAAGTCGAAGTTACTTTACGACTGGCGGTTTACCGCCAATCAGTTCTTCTCGGCGACAAGCCCCTTGACACTCACGACAAGTAATTTAATTTTTCAACCGAAAATTTGCGATTATAGTCCTTATGTAACATCCTCTCTGACGAGAGGATGGGTCTGTCGTTTACAAATGCTGCTGGACGTCGCCAAAGCAGTCATTCTCAGGCCAGAGTTTTGCGGGACTCACGACCACATTTTACTGTCTCAGATTAGAGATTCCCCAAACTGTAGGGCCAGGTCCTCTTATTTATATCCCCCAGGAACAGGTTGGCCCGGTTATACCCCTTTGCACGGACAGAGTAGAAAACACAATTTTCAACAGCACTTTTACTGTGGAATGCGTTTCGGTTGCCGCGGGAAACTTCTCACCGAACCATTGCCTATAAACGGCTCTTATGCGCTACAATATTAATTTCGTAACACATGGGCTCAAGATGTTTCGTAAATTTATGAAGTTTGCTATTCCTACAAAACAAATGGCGCACAGCAACATAAGAATCACGCCTACCGGTGCCACATAACAGAAGAACATGTTACAAAAAAGAGCTAAACGTTGATTTGAAATCAATTAAAGTTTAAATGAATGAAGAACAAGTTTGAAGTCTTCTTAAGAGTATAAAGGAGCTATGTAACATATGTTGAGGTGCTCGGGTGCCTGTGGGCGGGAGGGCGGTGGGAGGTACACTCATGACAGAAAAATAAGACTCATTTAAGCCTAAGGATAAGAATACTTATGGCGTGTTGTATACAGGGATTATTTCTCTATTTTTATCATGTAACTCTCACTCTCTGAATCCTATTCTTTCTGTGTTTGCCGGCCGATCCTCACAGGACCACTTGTCAGAAGATATTACATACCGTCTTGTAGACATTGGTTCCCCGCGGTTTGACAGACCATCCCATTTATCACTTGCCCCCAGCCCACACACATGCAGTATGTAACACTCCACGGCCTCAATCATTCTCACAGTGACTACGCAGCTGAAAACTTTATGCAGAAAGCTCCATGTTTCGAGACCGTGGAAATGCAGAAGAACTTCAGTGTTGATGACTTTCCTTGAAAAGATTATATGTTCGTTTTCTTTGGGTGGGGTGAGACCGACTCCACTTGGTACGTCGGCCACTATTTGGCCTATTTTACCAACCCCGGATGATAGACGATAAATTTGGAACAGTCGGTGGAGTGAGAACTCGCAGGGAAAACGTAAATACTCGGACAAAAACCTGCCCCAGTGACACTTTGTCCACCACAAATCCTACATTACCTGACCTGGGAACGAACGCGGACCGCCGCGGTGTAAAGCAGGCGACTAACCTGCTGAAGTATGGCATGGCCATGTCTTCGCTCCCTCGGAAGCCGACATCGTGGGTTTGAATCCCACTCAGGGCATGGATGTTTGTGTGCGTTTTTCTGTGTTTGTCTACAGGTAGAGGCCTTGCGACGAGCTGATCACTCGCCCAAGGAGTCCTACCGAATGTGTAAGAGCTAGAAAAACCGAAGTGAACGGAGAAGTTCATGGAGGTAGGCCTAGGCCCACTGGGACTGTAGTGCCAAGGAAAAAAAAATGGGACTCTAATGTTGATTACCATGTTCAGAGAGCCCACTTAAATTCTACCCCCAAGTAATTAACAAGTTAACAGTCAAGAAATTCCACGCATTTTATATAACCTAAAGGTTACGAGTAATTAAAATATTCACAAAGCCCGCTGGAACTCTATTCCGAATTAATTTAATCCACTCTATCCTTAACTAACTAACGAATCAATTATCTCCATGGAGCATAATCTTCCTTGAGAAACTAACAGTAGCTCAGCTAACCAAGAAATTCCTCGAGATTTATGGAGCCCAAAACTTCATCAAAGTCTTCATCAATTGCTTCAATCTGATTTATCTCCACCTAACTAACCAAATAACTAATTATTTATCCAACTGACTAACCAACCTCGGAGAGCATAATCCTGCTTGAGAAGCTAACAGTTGCTGAAATTATGAAGACACTTCTCGTCTTTACTGGAACCCGAATGTTCATTACCGTGTTCACAAGAGCACTCTGAGGGCCTGTGTAACACTGTTTGTCGTGATAGAGTCTTACAGCGAAGGTTTGGGCACATTCCCAACCCCCAAGCTGGAAGACCACGCCTTGTCGGCTGTTCGTGACTGCTTATTCGACAAGTTCACCATCTCCTTCTTCACATATTATTTCTCTAAAATGCAAAAATATTATCTTCTAACGGTTAGAGGATAATACATAGGTTAGAGTCTCACCTATGTATAGATCTTCCAAAGAAATCCCTCCCAATCTAGTTCTCAGCTAAAATCTTGTAAGCATTTCTTGTCTCTGCAAGGCGTTGCATTCATAAGACGAAGACAAGGGTGTCTCTGTTGGGGAAGGGAAATCTGACAATGTCGGCCATAGCAGAGTATTTGGTTTTACTGCCATATCTCGTGGTCTTACGGGTTGCGGTTCATTGTAGTCTGGTAGGTATTATTATTATTATTATTATTATTATTATTATTTGTGAAGGGGTGGGTTTCCCCATGCACCGCGACTAATAGTCTATTGTACGTCCCCATTTGATATTCTACCAGTCGCCATGCCCTTCCAGTACTGGTGCTCGTTATCAGCCCCATCCTGCCAACGAGGTCGGCCACCTCTCTGGCAGTGGTCCCCGATACTTCTCCACCTACCGGAGGAATTGGAAACTACTTGGGTGGGAAGCTTTGCCTAATTTTGCTCAGAGGTCTCCTAGAGACATGAGGATCTTTTACGTGCCGTGAATCTACGACACGGGACACACGGCTTAAAGTTCCTCCCGGAGGACTTGTTTCCTGAATTTTTCCGCCCTTAAAAATTCCACGACCTCCGCCGGGTTTGAACCCGCGTACCTTGAGTCATGAGGTGGGAACGTTAGCCCTAGACGAACATACTGCCTCCGTCTTCAGGATACAGTACCGAACAAAATGGCTGAAGCAGGAACGTTTCTGACTTTTACCCTAAAGGTACCTGATACGAACCTCGGCCGGATCACCACTGTGTTTTCTGCAGTACCTCCAGGCGAATGTCGGGATAGTACCTCAAATTAGGCCATGACAGTTTCCTTCCACATCCTTTTCAATTCATTATTCATTAATCATTCTTGATTTCGATGTTATATCATCTGAGCTACCGAAGTCGTAAAACAAGTAAAGCTAATATGTTTCAGGTTCTCACAGCGGTGACAAGAGTTCTTTCGGAGGAACATATCGCCTCTATCTTCAGGATCCAAGAGTAAACCAAGCAAAAAATGGCATGAAGCAGGTAGTAAACACATTTCCATGTCACCTGCTTCTTGCACGACTTACTCATAAATCCTGAAGATGGATGCGATATATGGCCCCGAAACGTCGGTTAATCTTCACTAGGTTTCACAGCGTTACACTCCAGATGAAGGAAATCTTCATGTGGCTCTATGCTTTGGTTTCGTGGAAGGAATTGTAATAAGGCTGACTTTTGCGTATAGGTCGCTGCGGAGATGAATCCGACACGGAGTCCGAACCCGGGATCCCGCTTAAGAGGAAGCAGCGTCGCAGCCGCACCACATTCTCTGGAGACCAGCTGGAGGAGCTGGAGCGAGCTTTCCAGAGGACACAATACCCGGACGTTTACACCCGCGAAGAACTAGCCCACAGAACTGATCTCACAGAAGCGAGGATACAGGTGAATTCCCCGTAACAAGAGTAGATACATGCATTAGGTTGACAGTTATGACCGAGTTATGCGTGCTCTATCATTAAGTGTCCGCAGCTAATGTTTATAGATCTTATGGCGGAAGCCTCTCATCCACTACCTGAAGAAGAGGAAAATTCTAAATTATTGTCGGGGTTTTCGTGGCCCATATTTTTCAAATCGGATGTAATAAAACAAAACTGCTTATGGAATATGAAAGTGTAATTCAATAAGTTTCATTGGATGAAGAATCAAACTTCTTGTATTAAACTTTCATATTACTTAAGCAGTTTCATTTTGCTGCTTCCTGTTTTAAATTATAGGCCACGGAAACCACGAAAATAATTTAAAATCAAATTTAACTTTAACGTTGAGTTGTGCAGCGCTATAATCCATAGCGTTATTGCAATCAATTACAACACAAATTCTTGATGTACCTTACGATTTCTTTTATGATTTTAGGGATCTTAAATGTTTACAATATTTTCTAATACCTTCCTAGACATAATATAAACCATAACTTACAAGGAGTATATTAATTTTACCATATGCAGTTCAATGATAATTTTTTGCGAAATCTGTATCTAGTCCATATGATAAGAAATGTAAAGCTATCCCTGTAACAGGCCGCGGAGGCAAACAGACAATATTTGGGTATATATATATATATATCACTGAACTGCACATAACTTACTAATTCCCTGGATCCCTTCTTGAGAAGCCGCCAGTTGTGCAGTTACTGAAGAATTTCCCTACATTTTATGGAACCAGGAGTTTCATTACCGTGTTCACAAGAGCCCTCTACTGGTCCCTATCCTGAGCCACATCAATCCAGTCCATACCACCCCATCCTATCTCTCCAATTTTACTATTATCCACCCACATTTGTCTTGGTCTTCCTAGTGGTCTCTTTCCTTCTGGTTTTCCCACCAATATTCTAAATGCATTATTTTCTTCCCCATTCCATAGAAAAATGTAAATCACCTGCTGGTTCGGTGCCATCCTTGTTCCATCCGACCTCCTGTACCCCCACGAGATCTAACTTATCGCAACTGCCCTGAGCGAACCTGCCCTATGCAGACTTCCTATAGTCCTACCTCATGTCCGTTTTCCTTAGCGTAGGCTCTTTATCCAAAGGATCTGTCCGAGTCTGAGGCCCTTTTTGACATTTCGTAACAAGCTTATTTTTTTTCGGCGAGGAATTGTTAGCTCCACGCCCAAGCCCAAACCAGGAGGACCACCCCTTGTCGGATGCCCACGACTGCTTATTCAATATATTCGCAGATGCCCTCCTTAGCTGGAGGCCGTCTCCTCTGTCCGTAACCTGAGGACGCGCCACGCCGCGACGACAAGGGCCCACCTAACATGGCGCGGCCAACTGCATGTAGTAAAATTAATACAGTAAACCATCGCTTATCCGGAATAATTGTGTGGGTGGGAGGTAATCTGGATTAAGTGAAACAAAAGGTAGCCCTGAAATACAAAGAAAAACTTAGAACAAATAAATGGAAAATTTAATGATATAAGTAGTGTTGATGGAAATAAATTACAAAATATCACTGTAAGGCCTTTATTTAAAAACTATAAAAATACAATACATTTATTCATCGGTAGAGGACTCAGAAGTTGTACTTGTTTCTGAACGTAATAATGCAGGTTTGAAGAAACTGTCAACTTGTCTGAACAGACACGTGACTCATCTGCCTTCCTAAATGTCAGGTTTCCTTTTAAATTATGTACTTAACTGTGAGCAGCAATATTAATTTTTCATATTTAAATCCGGATTAGCGAAGGTTTACTGTATATAAGTACTGTAAGACGTATATTATATATAAGAAGGTATCGGGAAGGATTTCAAACATGAAAGAGCCTTAAAATCGTACACAACCAAAGATCAAGGCCTTGAACTAGTTTCTATATTGTATCATAAGTATATACCCCTGAAGATGACACTATCAATGTCGAACCATGAGGAACAGTAATATTAATCTTACGCTACATCACGAACTTGTGTTGTAATTGGTTGTAACATGACAATAACATAGGAGGAAGCAGTAACCTCCAAGGACCCATTAGTTACTTCCAGCTGAACAACAAATTCTCTACTCAAAATTACTGGATTTTTGGACTCTGTCCATCGTCCAGTATTCTAGAAAATAGAAAACACAACGTTTCGGAAACTGGGTCTGTTTCCTTCCCAAGAGGAGCGGGAGAAGACACATACTCTGTTGGGTCCCTTGGAAAGAGCTATCTCAATCACTGGACCCAACAGAGTAGGTATGTCCCCCTGCAACTGAGGACGGAAACAGATCCACTTTCCGAAACGTTGTTTTCTAGTTTCTAGAATACCGGATGATAGACAAAGTCCAAAAACCCAGTAATTCTGAGTACTATGCACCATCGTCAGAACCCTTTTGAATCAACAATCCTCTAGATCGCCCACACCCGGATAAAAGGGACATCACTTCCTGTTTCCCGCCTGCAGGTGCAGGCTTCTTGCTTTAAAATTTCACTTCCGTAAGGCCCTAAAAAGGGTTTTTTCCCCAAATTTCTCACTGTCCCACTTTTTCTCCTGGAAACAACACTGCCTCCCTCTGGAAAGGGCTGACCTTTCTCACTACTGCATTCTCCAGCTTTTCTGAAACACTAATATAACCCCTGAAATGGTCGTTTTCCAACTGAACTGGATCGGGCTAATTTCCTTTCCCCCTCACTAGGGTCACATGACCATCTTATTTACAACCTGGCTACAATAACGTAGGCAATTCCTTGACCTACAAAATTCAACCCTGAAGGCTGGAGGTAGCGTGTTCTTCCGAAACGTCACCATCAATCTACGAGCCTACAGAGTGTCATAACCCAGCAGATCACAATCTGTTTATAAAAATATATTCAACAAATATTATGGTTGGAATCGGTTGTTTTCAATTTGTGAAAGGCGGCTTAAAATAAAACGAAGATTGATGCTCTCAGTATCTGCATAACATCAAATGCGTCGTCGTTACTTGTACATATCGTCGCCTTGTTCTCAAATACCATGACTGTGCACTGTGCAACAGGTTCGGCCAGACGGAACTTAATATTCTCCCGATAATATCATTTTTACTGTCTTCTAAGATTACCATATGTGTATGTGGGCCATTTAACGACGGTATCAGTGCCTAGACGGAGACGGAGGGTCAGTAAATAGCTCACAAATGGATATAAAACGTAAAACATGTCATATTCGAAACTGAATAAAAACATTTATTTCTCAACATATCCTCCACCAACACTTAAAACACTTGTCCCATCGCTTTACCAATGCCTCGAAACCCGCAGCATAGAAGTGTTTCGACTGTTGTATCAGCCACTTCTGCACCTCCGTTTTGAACTTCTTCGTTGTCAACGAAACGTTTGTCGCGTTACTCGAACCAGATGTGAACCGTTTTACGCGAGAAACACTTCCCATCGTAAACAGTTAACATTTCTTTATGAATATCCTTTACATTGAGTCATTTTGCCTACAAAAACGCTGCTCTTCGCCAATACGTTCCTCATGTACGATCGCCATTTTGGCTACTGAAACCAACCTCTGAACATGCGCATGCGCGTCTGCTACCTAGACTGTCATGAAGCTGGACTGTGCTGCTACCTAGTGATACACAGAAAACCTATTACGTCCATTACAGCTGTTTTACTTCCATTTGTGACCTATTTACTGACTCTCCCTCGTACATAGCGTCGGTTGATGGAATGACTGATGAACTGGAAAGGATGCTGAAAGAAGCTGAAACAGCCTAAACAAGGTCCTATACTGGCATATGCATGGAGGGACTGAGAAAAGTCAGGAAAACTCAGGATAGCTGGTGTTCCGGCTGAGATTCGAATCCAGCACCTCTGCACCAACCTGTTCAGCAGTACCCATCGTATTTAAGACGTTCATTATCGATTGTTCCAGCAGGTATGGTTCAGTAATCGACGTGCAAGATGGCGGAAACACACGGGAGGAACGTCTTTCAGCCCTCTGTCGGCGACAGTGCCTGGCTATCAATACCCGGCCACGAGCTGTGACGTCATGACACTTCATAATTCAGGTACAATTTGACACACGATGCTCATATACATGGGTATCTGCATTTCTTTAAACAAATTATGGTAAAGACGGTCCCGACGATGACGATAATAACAACTCACTCACTCACTCACTCACTCACTCATGGAGCTGAGCCCTTCTTGAGAAGCCGCCAATTGTACAGCTACTCAAGAATTTCCCAGCATTTTATGTTCACAAGAGCCCTCCATTGGTCCATATCCTGAGCCAGATCAATCCAATACATAACATCCCAGCCTATCTCTCTAAGATACATTATAATATTGTCCACCCACATGCGCCTTGGTCTTCCCAGTGGTCTCTTTCCTTCTGACTTTCCCACAAATATCCTATATGCATTCCTTTTCTTCCCCATTCGTGCTACATGCCCTGCCCACCTCAACCTCCTTGACTTGATTACTCTAATTATAATAACAGTTAAGTAAATTTACCCCCGTGCTCAATTAAGCACCACTCCATGAAGACGCAGAGAGTAATCGAAGTGTAACTGCATACACTGTTAACGTTGGGTTTTGATGGTGGTGAGCAATCAGCTTTAGGCTCCAGCCACTTTATCGCTAGTGAAAGAAGTCGCTTATCGGCTGGATAGGAGGCTGTGTTGACCCAGAGCCGAATTCAACGCTCTGGAGAAGAGAAATTCAATTCTCCCTGCCTGAAATTCAGCTGTAATCTTAATATAGGCCGCCGTGAGAACATCTCATTATGCTTTCAGTATCGAGACTATATACCGTCGGTTGATGGAATGAATAACGAATTGCAAAGAATTTTGAAGGAAGTGGTCGTGACCAATCGAGATACTTTCCCAGCATAGTTATCTTAGAGCAGAATTAATTAAATGCCATGAAAATGTGTGGCGGAGTGAATTATAACTCCACCAAACTTGATCTCGCCACTAGGTGGGCGTGAGTAGTAACCTTCACGCTCCGGACGCTTTACCCCAGGGGAAATAACGGCGGTATCCATTGCATAGGGGGCTGAGTGGGCTCCAGCAGGTCTGGATATTATGAATCGCACCCCGATTCCTCGGTCATCTAGCCAGTAGCCTAGTCGCTATACCGAATCAACCATTCCGGTTCTGTTAAGAAAACGTTGATGCACTATGTATGAAATTTATTTTAGAGAATACATATTTCTTGTCCAATATTTTGCTATATACGTATTTAGCATGTATTAAAAAATAAAAGAGTGTACTCTGCCTTTTTGTAAAGAGGAAGTTACGTGTCACTGAATTTGGAAGATTAAATTCAATCAGCAACTTTTGGTAAGAACTTAAATACCTTATGTCGTAACACACGGCTTATGAAGGTCTGCGTTACTACACATGGAGGGAAGGGCAGGGCGATAGTAGGAAATGAATAACCAGTGGGTGTTTTACATTATTTCGCAATAAATCAATGATTTCTTATTAAAAATAATCTGTATGTTTTAAAGCCATTTCCTTCATTTTCAAAGAGAGGGGGAAAACACAGAAAGGTTAGACAGGCATTAGCCGATGACAGTGGCCGCGCGGTTTAAGGCATGAACTGTCTTCACTCGCTCGAACATTGGGATCGTGGTTTCAAATCCCACTCAAGGCATGGATGTCTGTGTAAGTTTAATCTGTTTTTGTTGTTCTGTGTGTAGGTAGCGGCCTTGCGACGGGCTGATCCCCCATCCAAGGAGTCCTACCGACTGTGTATAGGATTAAGAAACTGAAAGAGCGGCCAAGTTCCAACAAAATGGCTATAGATCCATAGATGGATGGATAGACTTTTTTTTTATTGCTAGTGGGGTGGAACTAAGTCTCTGTACTGCGGCCACTTCTGGCGCCCCAGATGTTAGGTGAGGGCGATCGTGGAGCAATTGATGGAATGAAGATTGGCAGGGGAAACCGAAGTACTCGGAGAAAACCTGCCCCAGCGCCACTTTGTCCACCACAAATCCCACTTGACCAGATCTGGGATCGAACCCGGGCCGCCGCGGTGGGAAGCCAGCGACTAATCGCTTGAGCTATGGCGCGGCCCTTGGATAGATAGACAGATAGATAGACATTAATTTATTATCGGAAGTTATACGAAATAAAATCTGTTCTTTAAAGTTTACACCATCCAACGCTATAACATGAAGAAGCATCATTTGATGAAAAGCTCTGTCTTTGATATTCACCTCTCAACCATCCTGAAGTCCTTTACTGAACTGAAATGTTGTAGGAAATACAAACTGGCAACGGACCGGAAGTCAACTCGCCAACTATTCAGCGCTCATGCAGCAGTCCCACATCACTTCCACTAGCCTACAACAATCGAACTTTACCCTGTCGGCGACTCAAATAGGGGACCACGTGACGACGCCATCTTCCACAGTCACAACGACATTATTGTCAACGCCGTCGTGCACGAGCGCGACACAAGGGAATAGCAATGTCATGAGTCACGGAATGGGGTATTCAGCACCACCTAGTGGTGTCAGTGGGGACTATCAGCACTGCGACACGACAGCTGCAGCGGGAGTTTGGGGAAGCAGACTCAATAGCGACCCTAACTGGAGTCACCACGGGTTTCCTACAATCACTGACAATTACGGGTAAATATACCACGTCATCCTGATTTGCATTACAATTCTTAATCTACTGGTGAGATAGAAAAGGGCATAAGTACCATAAAGGCAAAATACACTAGATGTGCGGGTATATCAATAACATGCGATGTATATTGAGTGAAGGTTGAAATACATCCCAGGGGTTCGAACCAAATAAAAAGTAAAGCTATCCCTGTAACAGGCCGTGAAGGACCACAGGGTTGTGAGACGTTGAGGGCCCCACATTATCTAGACAATCGGCTCAAAGATTGCGGTAAGGTTTTCAGCCTTACGCGCCGGCCGCGCTTTACTCCCCAGGAAAATTATTTAATTCCTGGTACTCATTTCTGTTAGAGGCTGAGTCGACCCCAGGGCCATAGTGCGGCCGGAAGGACTAGGTCAATTGAAAAAAAAATCCAATGACCTCATCGAGACTTCAACCCGCGACCTTCTGGCTTGTAGCATAGTGCCTCAACCAACTACGCTACCGCGTGCCCCGTTCGAACCAAATACAAATTATATTTAGTGGAGTAGGCCTATGTATTTATAGGTGCTTTTCACGAAGTAAAAGTATAGTCGGGGTGTTCTAAGAGAGTTCGAGAGAAACTTTATCGATGGGCCAATCGGAGTAGCTTTTGTCGCCTGAAGACGGAAATAGGCCAATTTCCGTAATGAAGTGTTTTAAAAGAAACTCCTGTGTTGGACGAAGCCCAAAATAGTAGTTCTAAGCAAATACAATTTATAAAATGGTGAATTTCTAGATATTATCCAGCATTCTAATTTTCATTTAAAGCGGCTTTTCGGAGACGACCCTGTCTCCGTCCACAGGAAAAAAGCCTACTCTGCTGGGTGCAATAAATAGAGATAGTCCGGATGTCTGGACGATGGTTAATGTCGAGAAAATTGATCATTGTATTAATATATCATCGTCAAGAACTTTTAGACCTTAAGTATAATCTATGTTCGAAACATTTTTCGATATGACGAATATTCAACGAAAAGCAACGATAATAATTCTTTACTCCTGCGATTATCTGTGCAGTAACGTATCCGTGCCTTCAGCTAAATACACATCAAGTAAAGTGATATATGCAACATATTTTCTCGAAGTCTGCGTTTGGAAACTATGATTACTCCAGCGGAGGACACTTTGAGCTATGTTATGTTAAGTTTTCGACGAAATAAAATTAAAATCTTTAATAAAAGAGAATATGTAGGTAAGTCAATAAGTAAGCTAGAAATGGATATAGAACTTAAACAAGAGTACTGATTTGAAAAATGCTTTTATTTCTCAACATAATCTCCCTGTACAGTGAGGCACTTGTCCCATCATTTCACAAGCCCCTGAAAACCAGCAGCATAAAATTATTTGGGCTGCTGTCGGAACCAGCCGGTGACTGGGATCACGAAGGCATACTGCTCACCGCATTCTAGCCTTAAGGACCAAACGTAAATGCCGACTCCTACTGTAACATACTCAGGAAACTTCGTAAGGCCATTCAACGAAGCGACTAGGACTCCTCAACAAAGGAGTGTTGCTCTTGCATGACAACGCGCGTCCCCATACTATCAACAAGACAAATGAGACGCTGCGAAATTTCAAGTGGGAAGTCCTCGAGCATCCTCCGTATAGCACCGACCTTGCTCGAAGCGACTTCCATTTGTTCGGCCCTCTTAAACATCATCTTTCGGCTGAACATTTTCCCGACGACGAAGCTGTAGAAAGGGAAGTCACCGCCTGGTTCCGACAGCAGCCCAAAGAATTTTATGCTGCCTGTTTCCAGGGGCTTGTGAAATGATGGGAGAGGTGCCTCAACGTACAGGGAGATTATGTTCAGAAATAAAAGCATTTTTCAAATCAGTACTCTTATCTGTTTAAGTTCTATATCCATTTGAAACTTACTTATTGATTTACCCTCGTAAAATGCAATTTTTAACATTTTGAAGTCTGAAATGCATCAAAATAATATTTAAAAATTTAGTTCCTCCATCACAGAAAACATCGTATCTCCGGTACAAAGACCAATTGCTTATGGAAATAAACTATGTTTATTCTGTGGACCATAAGAAACACATAAATACATGTGAGAAAATTTCAGAATATACGGTTATAATATTTTTTGTTTTCAATGTTTATTTTATGACTCAAAGCTCCTTCTGAAATTTCGTGTCCAGGGTGCTGGGGAATGGTGGATCTGGAGAAACGCTGATGCCTGGAAGCGCTCTCCAGATGGAGCAGTCCGCTCACCAGTCCACATCTCACCACCACCAGTTCGCAGCATCCCACGTCTCCAAGGGTTACGGCCCTCGACCCTCCACACTACCTGCAGGGCCTTCTCTTGGCATTTTCTGATCAAGTCTTGCTGTAATTAAAATTCCTTGACAGTGTAGTATTTCCCTAGGTTCGAATCTGGATTCACAGTCAAATTACCTTCCGA